CTTATCTACCTGTTGTTGTGATGTTTAACCATCTGATGTGGAGCTCTTGGAGTATTTGGAAGAAAAGTGCGAGGTGGCAAATTTCGAGCAACACAAATTTATTGATGAGTTCATCCCGACTTTGGTTGGAGAATCACAAGGAGCTGACGCAAATGATGTTGATAATTCTCTATTGTGTGATGAACTTCTTGCTTTTTATCTTGATAGTTTTGGACATAATCTTGGCTCTTCTACTGACTACACTCATTACATTTGCCATTTATCACAAGGAAATGGTAACACAACCTATGGAATTTCAGAGCTGGATAATTTGGAATTAGATACTCCTCCAGATTTCCAACTTGCAGTAAGTTTCATCTTTGCAGGTGCTAATGATCACTGTTTTATATGTATATTAATAACATCTACATATGACTATGATGTTATGTTTTATGCAAGAATTGCCGTTCTGAAGAGAGTATCCTTGCCTGGTTGAACCGGCAATAGAGGAGAAATTCTGCGGTGATATTTGTCTGTCTTTTAAAATGATATTTGCTTTTAGATCGTATAGCACTTTGGTTTGTATTCATTTAATGAAAGAAAAAGTTTGATTAGTATATATACCAAAAAGAATTACGCTGCGAATAGAAGATGCCTAAGTTCTTAAATGCATAGAAAGCCTGTTATATGCATGAATAGGTAATGCAATAATTTATTTTACATGACTGTAGTATAAGAGTAAGTATACTATCCAAAAGGGCGTGTTATCACAGTAAACACCTATAAGAATCTTATAGTATGAGGCACTTAAATATATTGTTATCTTTTTGTCGAAAATTCTTGTGAAAGAACTCAAAGTGATTTAACTTTTACATATGTTAAATTTTTCAAGATTCTATTTTGTTTCATACTGGTATCCTTTTTGTGCTTCTACTTTGTGTTCCACGTTTTCCCGAGCAAGTAAATAATATTTTTGTAGTCTTTGATCTCTCAAATTGGCTTTGGAACCTTAATTTTTGCAGGTCGACGCTGTCATAATAGGAAAACTGCGAAGTGTATTTTTTTTTTTAGGCAGAATGCATCATTGTTCACAAGTTGGGGAGATTGCATGGCACATTGACGACACATTGTTAGGAAAACGGTCAAGCTACAGTTCCTGTTTGGATTGACAAAATTAAGAAAAAATTTGGCTTGATCCATATCCAATATCACCTAAGTGGACTTGAAGATAACAGTAGCTTGGAACAGACCATTTATTGGAAATCATTTGCCATACTTTTGAAGAGGAGAGGAAGGGTTTAGACTTGGCTAAAGAAGCTCTTGTTCTTTCCGGATATTTAAATGTCAAATTGTAAAAGTAGGAGCAGATTAGTTTTGACTATGATATTTGATTGGATTGGATTGAGAGCTGAAGAAGAGCCTTATTGTCATGCATCTGGATGGACTTCTCTTTGTTTCAAAAAATCATAGCAATTGCAGATACACTTAAAATTGGAGCTAATTAGTAGAATTATATAAACCGTTGATCTAAAAATTCATGTTTGCTGCTGAACACTAGCTCATTCTTATCTATTTTGCAGAGCTCAAGAGAGCCTGTCCATTTACAAAGATACAAATGCTGGAATGTCATCAACTCCTCAATCAGAAGTACCAAAGCGAGAGAACAAATCATGGCAATGTCTTGGTGCCCGAACAGAAAGGAACAAGGAGATCAGGCAATTCCTTCAAAGTGGACATCTGATAAAATCAATTTGAGTCCACAAAGTTCTTATGAATGAGATAATCTATTTTAACAAGATTCCAATCTTGAGTGGCTTCTGTATTATGAAATGCTCATCTTTTCACCGGTAATGGTGAATTTGATCCTTTCTTCCATTCTTTTTTTGTAGATATGATTCAATTGATAAAACAAATCATGTTGTATTCTATTTTGCCTTCTATTTGTTGTTGTATTGGTTTACATTTATGGTTCAGTATATTAAGGCCACACACTTGTTCTATTTTTGCCTCAATTAATCCAAAGCTTCAAAGTTGCAGACGCAATTAGAAGAAAATTGTTAGAGCATGAACATACTGCAACTTGTTCGCATGGGCAAATTATCTAGTTATTTTATTTTTTATTTTATTCTATAAGTGAGAGTTAGCAGCTCTCCGTCAACATGTCTGTTTCACACTTTCACTATAATGATATTTTCGAAATTTTATACTTTATTTGCGTTAAAAGTATTATACACGGTAGCTTTATCACATGTACACGTTGATAAGTTTGTTCAAATTGCAGGGCCCACCTGAATTTCTCACGAGTCTGAAACTTTTCTAATATTTTTTTGGACAAAAAACACGTTTTTACTACTAAAAAAAAAGTTACTTAAACACATAATTCGCAGTAGTATACTGCGAATTACTTTAACGGAATTTTAGCCGTTAAAGTAATTCGCAGTAAAGTACTGCGAATCAGTTAAAAAAATAGTGATTCGCAGTATTGTACTGCGTATTATTAAAAAAATATTTTTCTTAGCTAATTCGCAGTATTGTACTGCGTATTATTAAAAAAATATTTTTTTTTGCTAATTCGCAGTATTGTACTGTGAATTACTGAGTTGGCCCCACTAATAATTAACTGACATAGCAATAATTCAAACACATAAAACGTATTATTGTACTGCGAATTCCTTAAAAAAAAATTCTGTACCCCAGGCTCGGACTTGCCTTATTTAAAGGCGTTTCAGTTTTATGAAAATTCATTCAATACAAACTTTTAACTTTTGTTCATACTTCTCTCTTCTTCTTATCAATTATTTTTGTACAATGTCTGAAGAGCCAAAAATAAGAGTTTCATTATATTGGGGGGGTGAGGTTGTGCTGGAGAATAACTCTGTGAGGTATAGCTCACCTCCACAGTGTCATGTTAAATTGCCGCTTACTATGGAGTATGATAAATTGGTTTCGTTGTTATGTAAAAAAATGAGTGTGAGGAAGCGTTCGGTTAACCTTAAAGTAACTGGTAGGTTTCCGTATTCAGTGACTCCGCAGGGGTTTGCTTATTATTCTGAGTTTAACATCGAGGATGATGAAACTCTTAGAGATTTTTTGCGGATTCCGGATGAATACAGGGAATTTATTGTAATAAAATTATTGGAAATGTACATCAAGGTGGAAGACGTTCC